CGCCCTTGGGTCACAGGGAAGATGTGAATTTTAACCAAGACCAAGTCTTTTCCGATATCACCTTATCCGGTAGGATTGTCGACTGGTCGCAGTGTCACGATCCACGGTGCATCGTTAGGAAATAGCAGATCAAGATTCTCTTCTGGTCTCAAAGACTACTCAATACGAATGTAAGTAGTGCAGTCGAGTGTATCGACAATCCCACTAGACCTGGCTTGAGCCTGCGGCAAACGTGGTGGTAGCATGTGAAAATTATTCGCTGTACTATCACAACCCGGCTTTGAGCCCCTTGGGAGCGCTGATGTGGCACAAGAGGGCTCGAAACGGCTATCCAGTCGAGTCTGGAGGAGGACACCTTTTGCGAAGCATGTGAATTGAATGACAGTGTGAGGCTTGCTCATATGATTGCATCGCGTCAAGTGACCTCAGATGACTGATTTTTTATTTAATAATCGTTCATTTCTGCCAGAAACTCCGACTCAAGCCACGGGGAGAATAGGGCTTCACGATTGTGTCGGGGTTAGCTCAAATCCCCATCTGCTTCGGGGCACTCAGTTTCTAACGAAGAGTGACATTCTTCTGCCAGTCAAATCAGTTGTCAAGCCAAGTTACTTCTGATATTCCCCTAAACTGTACTTCTCATTGCCTATAACTAGACTCGAAATGCCAGGCCAACTCGTGTCTAAGCCCTATCCCGGCAATGGTGGCCATACAAAGTAATTTGGGCAAGGTGTCTATTGATAGCTATCAAAATGTCAGAAAGAAAGAAAGAGAGAGAGAGAGAGGTCATGAATACAATATGAATGGATGGATGGGAAGAATGGATGAAGTGGAGTGCATATTGGCATTCAGCAGAAGGCATTTGCGTCGTCTTGATTGGCCAGACCTGCTCCAATGCCATTTCGCCTCGGAGCAGTTCACCAATCGGTGCCCAGCTTGAGCCCAACAGTAATCCCTCCTATTGCCGGCCAGCCAGCCGGGCAGCTAGGCCGATCTGTGAGTGCGTGTAGTCATGCCGACCGGTAGGAGTGAGGCGAGACGTGGACGGGCTCGGTCGTCCGGGCCCTGGCGTGCCCTCGTCCGAGCTCTGGGCAGCCCTCGGGCCTGCCTCCCGCGGGCCGAGTAGCCCCAGCGCCTGTCCTGTCAACCTGCCGGCAAGTCGGTCGCTAGGAGACTGGATCCCGAGGGATCGGCAACGCGCCGCTCGGGCACATTCGCTAGCACCGACCCGGCCACCAGACATCTCGCGGCCCCTCACCCAGTCGACTGGGCGGCTCTGCCTCGAGAAGCCGATCGCCTCGACTCCGGCGCGTCATGAGCTTTCCCACCTCGTTCGCCGCGGGCACCTCCAGCTTCGGATCGCATCTGCTCTGGCGCGAACGAGCCAAGCGCACCTTCTCGTTCACGCGCCGCCAGCGCGCCGCATCTCGTCGCCCAGGACCCAACCCGTACGCCCGACGCCGCCTCGGGCTGCGTCTGCCCGAGTCGCTGCGCCCGCGGCACTCTCGCCGCTCCACCGACTCCGAGCCTGACCGGCCCGACGCACAGTCGAGTCCGG